TCTACTATATATATATATATATATATATATATATATAACCATGGGAAATGCAGAGAAGACATATCATGAAATGCCTCCTTTCTCCTAGGATATAAGAAGATATGTAGTTGATGAATTCAGACTTCCACCTGTTTACTGTTCTTCTGGTGATTCATACAGCAGAAGAAGTTGCTTACTATTGAAATCAACAGGGTCCTGGAGAGGTATTTGATTCGACCAACATTGATACATTTGTTTCTGAGCTCATCCACTCAAATGCCACCGATATCCAAGAACAAAAGAAAAGCATAGGAATAAATGAGGAAGGACAAGAGGATAACAACCTAAAGATCACACAGAGATGAGGGCAACAACCCAAAAAGGTTGTGTAATAAGTTCCTGTTACATTACATCTCCCAGTGAATGATGCACCAATGAGCTTTATATGATCTCAAAGGATAGCAACAATGCTTACAGGAAAGACGAGGAAGATAGAGTGTACCACAGTCGAACACTACACACAACAATTAGCAGAGTCGTTGCCATGAAATAGACATCTTCTTCCATTTTCCACCATTATTACAAACAGATGCCTTCGACTATTTTCTCCAAGGAAGATGAAAAGAGCCACACGAGATGATGAAGAGACATACATCGGCTCTTCAGTTGTGGAGAGGGTTAGGCCCACTCGGTATCAGCTGCTTCCCGACACCATACCTTGAGTCGATATCTTTGGAAGGATGACTTCTTTGCAATGGACTCCTTGAAGGCTGGAAGCACCATGACGGCATGCGGTGCAGCAAAGAGGTAGAAGGACTCTGTTCATGCTGACGCTGGCGCTTGCAAACTTGGACAAGAGGAGCTTCATGCTCCTTAGAGAGCGCAAGTTCAGAAGCCAATAGTAAGAAAAAGGTAACTCGCAAAAGAGAGAAGCTCTTCATGGCTTTCATCTCGGGCTTGGAAGGTGGAAATAACTCCCAAAGTGTGGAAGGAGAGGAAGGGGGAGAGCATGATTGTGGGTATCAAAGGAAGCATGGCAAAATAGGCCTATCAAGGAGTGAAAAGGAAATGGACTCCACAACATTTTCTTGTTCCCCTGAGCTTTCATAAATATAGATGACAAATTGGCGATAATGCGATTTGCAGACAGTGGGATGCAGTGTGGAGGGCTGAGTGGAGGTAGCTAATTGTGGGCCAAGTGAATTGATACGCAGAATCACTGACCACATGGCTGGGAACATCACAGTTTCCGGAGAACCTATGAACAGGAGGAGGAAGGGCCCCTTGAACTGGCTCCTATAGCTGCAGAGTGCCCAAGAAGAACAGATGATACTTGTCATGCTACTTTTGAGGAAGGTACTCCAACTGAACTGGGTTTCAAAGGACAATTCATTTGTAAAAGTGATTCACCCTCCTTCCAACATTGGCTAAACTTCATTCCTTTGGAGCATGTACCCTTTCTTAATCTACACTGGTTAATCAAATGAATTGTCGACTACTTCTTAATCCTAATGCTCATGAAAAGGATCACAAAAGATTATATCTAAAACATTAGTCTGGTAATGACGTACCAAATCTCTTATCAAAGATTGAGGGTTTGAAATCTCATTCGATATATTTAAATCTCAAATGATATTTTGAATGTGTTAACTAGTTTAGCCGGTACAGACTTTGACAAACCTATCACAAAGTCCTAAGCTCGAATCTCGCCTTCATCACTTACTCTTTTGTCAAAAAAATAAGAAGTTATGAAAATAGATGAAATTTTAGATGAAAACAACCTCAACTCACATATGCACAAATCCTAATAAGCATACATTTAATTATCACAAGAGTTTAGTATAAATGAAAACCGAGCAACAATTATAAAGTTATCATATCACCTAAGATGCAAGTCAATTGCTTGAAGAAAACACTGTCCATAAAAAATAAACAATGTTCAAACACTCCACTTGGAAGCTTGGACAAGTTAGAATTAGATAAATATTACTGCTCGACTGTAAAGCAAGTTTTTTTTCTTCCCAACTGCAAGAGTGATACTTTTCGAGTTAAAAATACATCAATCATCTAAACACTAAACCAAACACAAGAATATAGTTGTTTATTGTGATCCAATTCTTATATTATTTCATAGCAATACATATACACTTCCGAGAAATTAAAAAAAAATGAAAACTGTTTCCCATGCCAAAAGCCTCCTCGAGCATTTTCTAATGCAGATTTTTCCTATTTTAGTTGTATCAACGACTTCCACAAGAAAATTTTCATGCAAAAAGGAAAGGAAAACAATGATTGACCTGCTTCTGACCAAAACCAGTTGCTGATATAATGTCATCCTTAGTATTTGCATTTGGTAACTTGCTATTCTTTGCCAAAAGGATCCCTGCTAACAAGCAGTATATTCAGACCAGAATATTGGTCTACTACTCCCCCATGGTTGCTCCCATGATAGTCAGCAATCATTATCATCATGTGTTCAGGGATAAACAGCTCCAATCAATTGGTGGATTATTGTCATAAAAAATCTTCCTTGGCAACATTCTGATCCTTCCTAAACTTCATCAACAGAAGTTTCAGTAGGATGCCACTCTATGAGAGCTTGATTTAATTCATTCTTGGCATAGACAACATCCAAAGCTTCAGCATCAACGGATGCTTCAGTGTCCAATGTAATTTGTTTGATATTGCAATAGCCAGAAGATTTATGATTCATTTTTTCGTGATGGCTCCAAAATGGGAGCCAAGTGAAAAGCCTCTGATTTTAGCAGATTAAAAGAACAAACTTCAAGTTGTACCTCAGCCCTATATTAACTCAAAACAAAACAAAATTCATAAAAGTGAAGCATAAAAGTATCTACTCATACGACCTAATCAAGACATGATAGGCAAATCAATTGTTATGGTAATTTCTTGCACAAAGGAGCAATTTTTAAAAGAAAATTAAGCAGTACACATGCCACTAATTCTGCAAACCCGAAATATGCACGTACGCGGAGATAAAACCTGCAATTTCTTTCGATATTTCACCAAATTAGCAGACAACAAAACATTGTTGGAGCGCATCAACCGAAGCAGCTTTCCTCCCCCGAAGGATTGCTACTACAAGCAAAAAGAAGTGGGGAAAACCTAGAAGCAAACACTTGCGACTCTTCGCCTGGATCATAAAAGAGAACAACAAGATGGAACTCATCAAATAATACGCCCGATTCTAATCCAAAATAGAGGAATGAACTGACTTCAAATGGGAGAGCGAAGGAGCGATCGATCGATCGATCGGGAACTTTCCTTCGAGCAACCGAAGAAAAAAGGAGGGCAAAAGAGCGAGTTGGATTTAAAGGGAGAATGCAATGAATTTGGAGGGACTCGCTCGAGGAATTTGGGGCTTGCAATGGAGAGGAGATGAATGAATCATTTCATATCAATCTACGTTTTAGAATACGTTTGTAATTAATTAGTAACAAAAATTATATTTATAAATTCTTATAAAAACTACTTACTTTTTGAGGATTTTTTTTTTTATAGAGAATCCAATATTTATTTTAAATAACTATTTTACCCTTTCATTGGTTGTACTCTTTGTCTCGTCTTCTTCGTCACTCTCGTTGGAACCCAGTAGTTGACGGTAATGGAGAGCAATTGACCTTCGTGCACCTAGCTCTCGTGCAAGGGTTAGTCGTCTCTCTTCGCCGCGCACAAGATTGCCCCCTTTGTTATAGGCCTCATGTGAGGGCTTCGAGCGATGACAATTTTAGTGAAAGAAGAAATAAAATAATCTTTGACGAGAAGCCGATGTGATCAGCACGCAACTTGAAGAACAATCTGCAATCGCAGCTTTTCTCAGGTCATGGCAATAGAATTCTTTTCGATTCGTAATGTGTTCGTGCCTGTAAAGAAACAACATCGGTTCATCAGTGCAACATTGCATGTATTCACAGGCCACATAAAGTATGATGCACCTGATCACCACCATGACTTGATTTGCTAAGCCAGAGATGCAAGCGACAGGGCAAAAGAGTACTCATGAGAAAACCAGAACTGGCATTCAGCTATAATGAGATTCGAGCGACAGAAACCTACAAGAAACAACAAGCAATCCATCTTTTCCTCTGGTAGCAGGAATGCATCAAGCAGCAAAGCCTAGTAGACAAAAGGGATCAGTTCTCTCATCAAATGCAACAGAAGGCACGCTAAGGAGAACGGAGGAGGTAGGATAATGGTGCAATCACCATTTCCTGTCTAAACATTACTGGAGAACAATAAGCCATAAAGAGTAAAATTAGACAGCATCATGAAGTATCCTCGGCTTCCCATCTGTCCCCGCTGAACTCCCAACTAGACGACAGCAGGCATGTCCTTAAGCCATTGATCCAATGGCTTCCCAATCGAGTAAACGATGAAGCCAATCTCCCTTAGCTTCTCAGGGTTCACGACATTGCGCCCATCAAAGATAAAAGCAGGCTTCTGCATATTCTCATAGATCTTTGCATAGTCCAGCCTTTTAAACTCATCCCACTCGGTCAGGATGCAAACACCATGTGCCCCCTTGGTGGCCTCGTATGCATCCCAGGTCACAGTAACCTCCTTCACGGCTGTTGGGCTCGTCGGCTGGAGGTGGATGGGGTGATCCCAGTCGAACTTGTTCATCGCAAGATCACGCCGGATCTGGTCTGCAGACACTTGGGGATCATAGATACTAATCTTGGCCTTGTCGCCCAAAAGACCCTTGCAAACATCGATGGCTGGAGTCTCCCTCGTGTCACCTGTGTCCTTCTTGAATGCAAACCCAAGCACAGCAATCTTCTTTCCAGAAACAGTGTTGAACATGGAAGAAACCACCCGGTTCACGAACCTGCTTTTCTGGTAGTCATTGATCTTGATAACTTGCTTCCAGTAAGTGGCCACCTCTGGAAGACCATTGCACTCGCAGATGTAGACCAGGTTAAGGATGTCCTTTTGGAAGCAGGAGCCACCAAACCCCACACTCGCATTCAAGAACTTAGGCCCGATCCTGGAGTCTTTTCCAACAGCATAGGCGACCTCAGACACATTGGCACCCGTGGCCTCACAGAGCGCTGAAATGGCATTCACCGACGAGATCCTTTGAGCCAAGATGGCATTAGCAGCAAGCTTGGATAGCTCAGCAGACCATAGATTGGTTGTGATGATTCTATCCTCAGGAACCCAATTGGCATAGACCTCTTTCAGTGCTTGGACGGCCTTCCGACCCTCTGGGGTCTCCCGACCACCTATAAGCACTCGATCAGGGTTGAACAAATCCTGAATTGCTGTACCCTCTGCAAGAAACTCTGGGTTGGAGAGGATCTGGTAGCTGATGCCTTTGCTGTTGTGGGTTAAGATCTTTTCGATTGCCTCGGCAGTCTTTACAGGGACAGTGGACTTCTCAACCACAATTTTGTCAGATTTGGATACATCAGCGATCATGCGAGCTGCACTCTCCCAGTAGGTAAGATCAGCTGCCTTACCTGCACCAAGGCCACGGGTTTTGGTCGGCGTGTTCACCGAGACAAAGATGATATCAGCTTCACAGACGTGCTTTTCTACATCAGTACTGAAGAAGAGGTTCCTCCCTCGGCACTGCTTAACCACGTCGTCAAGCCCTGGTTCATAGATTGGGAGTTGATCGCTGTTCCATGCTGCAATGCGAGTGGCAGAGATGTCCACAACGACCACCTCAATGGATGGGCATTTCAACGCAATGACGGCCATGGTCGGGCCACCGACATAGCCAGCCCCAATGCAGCAGATCTTCACCATCTTTGCCTGTTAAAATAATATGAACCAATCAAACAAACAACGGTAGGAGACAATCAGAAAGTGCAAACTTCATCAGATCAAAATCATCTATGTTTTTTTTACACTTTGAAACATTACGGCACATGGAAAACGGATTGCAGATCCAAAACCCATAAAAGGCTACATTGTTTTCTTATTCAATCACTTTGAAAGCAATCAGCATGCAGATGAACATTTGCAATTTTTCCTGTGAGTCAGTGAGTGAAAATTAATTTCCTTAAACCAAATAACAGAAAACGAAACCAAAACAGATAGATTCAAAAGCTAGACCTTTATATTTAAAATAATCAATAGTTAGGACGTGCCAGTGAAAAAAATATCATAAACATATAATGAGGAAACATAAATCTTGAGAACACATGATAAAAAGCATAGATCAATGTCTATTATCTCTTCAGAACAGACACATGCAGCTGATCTCTTAATGAAAGCTACTCAAGCACCAAAAGAACTACCATGTATCAGACACGAACAAGCACAACCTGCAAATACCAATTCCGGAAAACCCGCAGATCTAAGACAAAACCAACCTATCCAATAAGCCCTACAGCCATAATAAACTAGCATACACCACAGATCTGAACCCAAAGCGTTGCGATCGGTATGTGTGGGTTGGTGTCCAAAATTCACCACCCAAATTAATCTAATTCAAGCTGCGACTAAACAGATTCCGAGTACAATCCCAATCCCTAACTGGATCCACATCAAATCTCGCACGACAAGAACAGATCTGGCCTTTGATCATAACAACCAACGTGTGACGACCCCGCAAGACAGACAAGGTAATGATTTAGCATGCAAAGATACATGGAAGAAACCCGCAAGATTTAGCAGTTGAACGCATCAGATCAGGCGCGAACATTACCTCCTTTTCCACAAGAAAGATATGGGATTCAGCAGGCACAGAAGACCGCGAGAGAGAGAGAGAGAGAGAGGAAATGTGTGTGTGGAGATACAGGAGGCGGTCTGCACCTCCTTAAATTCCCAAAAGGAGCTGAGCTCCTTCCGCGTCCTTCCCCGTTCGTGAACCCGTCCGCCCGCACTGAAAAGTCAAGATAACGCGTCGGTGAACACCAGACACGGAACACGAATGATTTGTCAGAAAAGAATGTTTTATATTTACATATTTGTCCCTGAAAAATAATATTCGACATCTAAGATTAATTTTTGGAGCAAAGGCAAAATTATTCCTCATTATTTTTTTTTCTGAAAGAATATATATATATATATATATATATATATATATATTAGCACGTATAAGATTATAAGCATATTTTGTATGTAATGAAATATCAAAGCATATCGTAGGCATCATATAAAAAATAATTCAGAAACGGAGCAAATATGTGTTTTTAGAATCAATTTCTCTTAAGTTAAATCAAATCTCACCTTAAACTAGATCTATTTGCCTTAATAAAAATATCCTTTACATATGTCTATTGACTTTATGATGATTATTCCTTATTTCAATTTACATGATTAAGATGCATATTTTTATGAATTGTGTAATAATTCATAAATTATGTCAATAACAAAATCTATATGTATCATTCAAATATATTCATAGCATTTTAGATCATTCTTTCTCATTTTACATTCTATCATGATAGTATAAATCCTTTATGAATTAAAATTTTTAAATTTATCAAAATATTTAAGAATTATGTATGGAAAAAAAAATATTGTATTTCAAAATTCAATAGGTCATTAATCAAAACATTTCATAGCATTGAATTACATCTACTTCAAAGTTCTAAGTGTGTGCCTCTAACAAGATTATGATTTACAACTCCCTTTTTACTATTTATAATATTTTTTTAAAATAGTTTTAAAAATTATTTTTTATAAATGGATATAAATATCCTCCCCCCTCTTTTTCTTCTTTCTTTCTTCTCTTTTTATTCCTCTTATTATTTTTTTTTTTTCAAAGAATAATATTGAAGGAGCGACACGAACGATCGAAGTGTGATAGCGTAATTTAGAGACGAATTAAAGAACAATGATCGATGAACGATAAGGAGTGTTGCGGAGCATCGACAACAATAGACTACGTAGGCAATGATCATAGTGGATGTGGAGAAGAGAAAAAAATATAGTGGCAAGAGGGTTTTGGAGTCTGCAGGACGTGAACCGAGTCAAGTTGACCTGCGCCGAACCGGACCAGAGCAGACCCGGTCGCGTGGTTGACCGTTGACAATGTGATCCGGCTCAAGATCCATTTTATTGCGCAGGATGCAAGGGCCGAGGGTCAATCCGACGGTTGAGATTAGATCGTTATTCAAAATTTATACAAAGCGGGGCCCTGGTGAGAACTAGCCGTTACAAATCGCCTTCCCCCCGACCCCCGCTTACCCTTTTAATTTCTCGATTACGTTCTACACAAACCCTAAGAGGAAGGACCGAGCTTTCGTCCATTTCTCGACTCTCCAATCCTTACTTCGAGGAGATGGCGACTCCCTCGAAGAAGACGTTGCCATCTCGATCTCCGACCTCGGAGATTCTGAAGGTTTCGGAGAATTTCGATCCCAACGTTCCGATTTCGCCCCCTTTTTCTTCTAAGAAACCGATCAAATCTCCGGCGATCCTGTCGGCGCAGTTGAAGAAGGCCAACCCCAAAACCCCTGGTCGGATCGTCGTGCCGCCCCCCCCGCCGGAGCGGGCCGGGAAGTTCATCGTCGCCAAGAAGAGCTCCGGGAGGGCGGGGAAGGGACTCGATTTTGAGAAGTGCCGGAAAGAAGCCTACGAGGCCCTCCGTGCATCGCAGGAAGAGTTCTTCAGGAGAGGTTGCTCCTCTGGAGCCGCCTGGGTTGCGGACTCGGCACCTGGTGAAGCTGACAGGTCCAAAGATGGATCTGAGAAGGATGGGACGAATGAGACGGGGGAGATCGTGAATTCGGGGGCTCAAGAGCTGGAGGGAGATTCCGATGTGACAAAGATGAGGACCTTGGTGATGGAGAAGGCGATGAGCAGTATGCCTGAACCGGGGTCTGGCCGCGTTAAGCATTTGGTCAAGGCATTCGAGAGCCTCCTTTCCATTCCGAAGGATGATGAGGGCGAAAATTTTGACGAAGAAAGGAAGCCTTCGAACTGGACATTGCTGGGATTACAGCAATCTGCCAAGGTCGTGGAGGCTGGACCTTCTTCTACATCCTTTTTCTCTTCGGCAGAGTTCTTCCCTTCCAGAGAATTTGAAAGGGGCTTGAGGTTGTATTCTTCGATAGAGTGTCACAGTGACAGGTTAGTGATGTTGAAACTTTAGGAAAAACGGAGGGCTTTTTTTTTTTGTGTGTGTAAGCTGTTTTGGTTGATGTCCTTAGACTTTGAACGTTCTGATTTCAGGTCGAGTTGGGGGAGCAGGACATCTGGTAGAGGAAGAAACAAACGCAATGTAAGAAACTATACATTTGTACATGCTTTTTTAACAGTTTGGTAATGTTGAATAGATCTTTCTTTTGCAGTTTTGCTTTAAAATTTAAAATTCATGTATAATATTTTGGCTTTGACAATGAAAATTGATTATGCTTGCCAGAGCTCTGAATCTTTGAGAAGGAGCTGGAATAAGATGCTTAAAGTGACAATCCAGCATCCATTCAAATTGAGGACTGAGGTACATTATTACATTAATTTCCTTAATAGTGTATATATAATTACCAACCGAGGTAACCATGGTGAAATTATTAGGGAAAATACTGGGCATAAACACGAGTTTGACTAGATTTTGTCCATTTTTGTGTAATAGTTTCTTCATTATGTCTAAGTATGAGAACTAGATTATAACATCTCTATCATGAAGCCTATAGAAAAAAGGGGCATGGTGTTGCTACACATGAATATACAAGTAATGAGGCAGAAAGATTATGAAGAGTAACTTGAGGTTGAAAAGACAAAAGGGTAGTAGTGGTATGGCTTTTACTCGGGTCCTCAGTAATGGTTAATATTTTGTCAGACATTTTAGGTATATTTTTCCTGGAATCAGTACTACAATTTTGGTTATTTGTTAATTATTTAAAATGTTCACCCCTGTTGGTGTCTGAAGGTAAGGACATGCATACTTTCACTACTCACTAATCTTGAGATAGAATAGGTTTTTTTTGTACGATCGTGTTGATAGCCATAATTTTTGTATTGGTAAACAACTAGATATAACTAGGCAAGCTAATTACTATAGTAGAGTGTAACCATCAGGTAGTGGTCACAGACATACATTTGATGGTGTACATGAAAAAAAATTGATTTCACCAATCTGTCAAGGTCTTAAGTTCAATGTTCGCAACTTTACCTTGGCAGATGTAGGAGGCTGATATGGGGCTATAAGATGCCTTTTCTGGATGAGGATTTTTTTAATGATAACAATTCCCAGAGATTTAAAAATGCAAAAATGGTAGAAATTTGTTATTTGTTTAGCCATCTACATAAAATAATGACACTTGAATTAGTTTTCCTTGTGTCATCCTTCATAGGTAGAACCACAACCATTTTCTCTAGTTATTATTTCTTTTTTTATCACATAGTTATCTGTTAAATTTAACATCTAGATAAAGCTTAAGTCAGCTAATCCCTTATGGTCAGAGAAATGTAATTTAGTCTCATTAATGCTGTACTTGTAAAGCAGTCAACTATATACTTGGGTTTAAGAAAATAGACCTTAAAGAAGCTTGAGATCAAGGCTTACTATTGTCATATAATATCTAGCTCACCGCATGAGCATCCTGATAGTAAGGTTCAAGGAGTTTGGTATACACAGCCTTACCCCTGTAAACCGTGATACTATTTTTGTGACTTGAACTCTTAGTCACCTAGGAAGCAAGGAACAACCTTAACCTTATTTTGGTGCCACGGTCTGCTGTCAAGGCTGATAAATGTCCTGTCCAACCTAACTTATAATTCATGTGCAAGGCTAGACTAATCTTGAATCGCATGTGTTCCCTTGTACCATCTGAGGCATTAAATTTCATTGTGCTCATTATCCTACCCATTATAGGCTTGTGAGAAAAGATATGAAGTTTAGTCATGATGTCTCAAGCTGAAATAGTGAACCTTGAGTTCACATATCCTTCTTGCACTTCCCTTTGTTTTTCTGTCAATATGCTATTCCTTTTATAATTATATCTATTAGATGGTGATCAATTTCAGCCAAAGTACATTTGTTGACACATATAAGCTAAACACAAACATATCTTGTTGTTGTATCCAAGAATTCAAGTAATTATTTTTTTTTATCCTTACTGAACTTTATCCATTATATTGTTTACAGCAAAGAGGAAGGATTAAGGAAGAACAGTTTATCAAGAAAGTGAAAGATATGCTGATGGTGGAGGAGAAGCAACGCATACCTATTGCTCAAGGCCTTCCATGGACCACAGATGAACCTGAGGTGACAACCCCTTACAACTTCAAGCATCTAAAAGAATTGCTAGTTATAACATTCTCCTTTATGAAACAGAATAATATGTTTGACTCTGAAGTGATCATTCTATAACAATGTTAATGCACATGGCATCATTATATAGCATATATTTTTATTGTTTTAACTACATATTATCTTTTAGTAAACGGGAAAGGTGTTTACTAATCCATAATATGTTCTTGTTATATAAATATATAAATTAAGATGAGGTTGTATTTGTAATTTTGTGGTGGTTAAGAAATTATCTCACTTAGCGATATTACTATATGTAGTACTTGTCTTTTTCCAATTACCATAACACTTCGTAGATTGAGTTTACTGCAAATCCATGAGTGCTATATCCTCATAGGCTTAATTGAAGATATATTTTAAGTTCTAGAGAGTGTAATTTCTTCTACACAAATAGATTCAGGAACTACTGGGCATGTCTTAAAATAATTCCATTGCTTGGTGTGCAATTCAGTTGTTGTGTAGTCTAAAGGAGCCTGAGAAAGTTATAATTAACTGAAGTTTGAAATTTTACATCACCTAGTGATCAAGATTACTTTTCTCAAAAGTAGAAATGAATGCTTCATTTGCTTATGAATAGCATTCATTTCAATTCTCTACCACTAAAATTTATTTGTGATGCTCAGGCTTCCACTTTTATGATTAATTATAGCATTTGCAATTGCAATTTAATTTAGTGGCAACATATATCTTTATTCATTTTTTTATTTTTTTATAAATTTATAAATATAAACCAACTTAAAGTAAATATAAATATAAACCAACTTAAAGTCCCTATTTTTATTCGTTTTATAAATTGTAGAAATATCTCTTTTTTTGATACCTTACATTATCTC